AACCCGACAACACCAACAACATCCAACAAAATAAAGTATACAAAAACAACAAGATAATGAATGTAAAAAAATTAAACTAAATATTAAAAATTTTATTTTGTTTGCTAATAGAATAAAAGGAAAATTTAAAATTAGTTAAATTTCAATATTTTTTAATATTCAAGCCATTAACTATATCTACTAGTACTGTTTGTAAATAAACATCCTGAGGCTCTTCTGCTTTTTTTCTATATATACATTTCTTTATGAACTTGTATAATTTGTTTTGAATTTTATAGAAAATAAAGGGTTTTCTGTTGTAGATTTTACATTTTATATTTTATTCTTAAACAAATTTGCTCATTAGCATAAAAATTTAACCCTTATTAGGAAATTTGTTATATGAGAATGCTAAAAATTTATGTAAAATTTGTTTTGCCATTAAATGTTTTCACGCTAGAATCCTTGTATTGTTTTTCGATAATAAGCGCGCAAATTAAATTAGTAATATTTCAAAGTGGATGAACAATATTGTTGAGTGGTAGATGATTTACTCATTTGTTAACACTGATCACCGTTCTGTAGTAAAATACGAACACATGTAATTACAACAAAACTGTGACACACTGCTGCGATTTACGAAAAAAGGAACGGTTATTTTTGTTTTTTATTTACTCTAGTGCTTTAGCAAATTTCTTAAATGCTCTTAATACCTCACATTACCTTAAGGCATGTGACCATGGGAGTGAAATATATACTGTGTTACAAAAATTATATATGCTGTACACCGGGCTACAATATATTTAGCATGTTTTTTTTAGAATCACTTTTTCGGAACACAGAACCTAACAAGCGCTGAATACCAAAAATCCTATTGAACAAGACACGGTGTCGATTTAACCGTCTACTGCATTCAACAACTACCAATGTTTAATTTGGTAAGTCAGAGGACTAAAACATATGAAAGTATGTAGGTTATATAGCTTTGGCAAACTCTTGTAGATGTAGATTGCAAGATAAGACAGCGATACGCCGCGATTTGAATGACCTATTGTGCACTCCCCTTACCGCGAGAGCATAGTATTTTGCCAAGAGTACCCCCTTGAGATCCACTTTGCAGATGTACCCCCCTGAGATCCACTTTGAATCTGAACCACTTCTCTAAGGAAATATACCACAACGACATGTCCATCAGCGAGAGTCTACTTAATCTGTCTCTTCTCCTATAGACCAATTTCACATTCATTGAGCAAGTGAATCGGAATCTGTTCCCCTTTCCACAGTATCTGCAAGCCCCATCAGTGATAAGGCTCTTAGTTTAAACGATGTAATTTTATGTGATCTATAAAATGAACTAACACCAGTTGAGGGTTAATGTTTTTTTTTTTTATTATATAAAACCAAATATTTTAATATAATCCGTTCATTCCATACAATTATAATTAATTCTACTAGTATTTAATATTCTAGGAATATAAGGAAGGTCATTATAATTTATCACTCACTACAGTACTTAATATTAAATTTTCATTAAGAAATTTTAGCTTCAGGTCGAATTCTTTATTAACGGTTTACTGCAACTTTACTCATATCCAAATAAAAATTATACTGTTTACCGAAATAATATTAGCATATTGTTGCAAACATATACATGTACATATAATTTTTACAATGTATTAAGTATTGTGTACGGCATTTAGAAGGGTGCAGAAATTAAAATTACAACATTGCTAATCAAGAATTTTGAAAATAGTTGCTTAAATCTATAAACTAGTTTTCATTGCTATGTATATATAAAAATTGAAAATTCGGAACTTTTGATTTTACTCGAAAATAATTTATGGTATTGAAATTAGAGCTGTGATTTATTTGTATACAAGAATTTTTAATATTAAATCGGAAAATTCTATAATTAGTAAGAACTTACCACTTTTAACTGGAAGATGATCTGCTTGGAAATTATACCAATTGTTCGTAAACTTGTTGTTCCAAATTATAAAAAATAATTTTCCAGTTTCTAAATCAAAAATTTCTTCACCAGTAAAATTCATTCTCTGGATCTTATTCAATTCATTCATTGCGTCTATAAGAAAATAAAGAGTTTTTTACGTTTATTCTAGATTCTTAAATTGAGAGTTTTTTACGTTTCATGTTCCAAATTTATTTATTGTACCATTCACTCATTCCTTGGGTCCATTTACTATTCCATTAGAATGTTAATACTTTTCCAATTTTATTTTGCATAAAAACTAAGGTAAAAATTTGTTCAGATCCAACTTTATTTGCAAAAAAAATTTAACTTGACAACATATTGTAAGCTTCATTGGTATGTAAACTATCAATCAATGAGAATTAAAAATTAATAAATTTTGTGAAAGAAAACTTTATATAGTTTCCTTTTTCAAATACACACCAAAAGAAGAATCCTTATTTTCATTTAATTCGGCTTTAGTCCGGACCTTCTTCAATAAATTCTACAAAAGGTTAAATAATATGTAGAAGGATTAAAATTTAAAAGAAAATTTTTATGAACCCAATTCTACATTTTTTTTTTTTCACAAATTTATATGCCATTTACACATGTTTACATACACTCACACATACACATAAAAAATACATATTTATTTTATTTATTTATCTATAATAACAACCATATTAGTTACTTAATATTTTTCCTATTTTATTTTATTTTTATATATTTTTGTTTCTGATGTTTTTTTTATTTACCTATTACCCTTAATCCTTTTCCATTATATTCGCACATTCAAAAATTCACAAAGTGTTTATGTATATAGGTATATAATGTGTACATAGAAGTATATAAATAACCGAAATAATATAAAATTTTTTAACAATGCCTGCGGGTGGTTTTAAAAAAAATAAAAAAAAAAAAAACAAAAATCCTTTAAAATAAAAATATGTTTATCCTTTAATTTTTGTGGTTTACAAACACTCCTTGAAGGAGGATTTCAGGGAGATTTTCATGTATATATTTTTTATTATATAATAATAAATTGTGAGAAAAAATAACATACGAACTCAATGATCTCTTTATTCTTATACTTTTTGTCTTAAATGCTATTATATAAAATTAATTTTTATTTTTTTATTATTTTGAATTAAGACTTTATTTACGACTCTTAACAATATTTTTATAGTTGAATTATGAAAGATGCGATTTATAAAAGAATTTACAGCTTAAAACATTAAGTATGTATTGTACATTAAAAAAAAAATCACATAAATTTTTTCGTTCTTTCCGATATGATTGATTGTGTTATTTTCACTGAAAAATTTTGAAATTATCGGAAACTTATTAAATGTATTTTAAAAACATGCGAAAAATGCATAATTCATGCATTTTCGAAAATTTACACCAAATTTATTATCTGTAAAAGAAGCCGTCGATGATTGCTTTATGTGAAATAATTCTAAAGTTATAAGCATTCATAATATGTAGGAAAAATCTGAAAACGAGTATATCCGCACTCTACCCTCCTCTCTGAACCCATACAATGGTTTGTTGAAAATTGACCAAAGAATCATCCCTGAAATTATTTGTCACCTTATGTGAAATGTTGTTTACTTATGTACGCAAAATTTTAAAGGCAAATATAAAAATCCTTACTGTAAACATCCTCTGTAAACTAATTTTGTCAATAGAATACGGTGTTAAATCCTTTATTGTATTGCTTATTTTACAAGAAACGCAATTTATTAGTTTTCGCCTTACTAGTTTTTCATTTAATAACTTACATAACAACTAAGATTCTAATTAAAAATATAGAAAACATATAGTAAGTAAGTAAGTAAGTAAGAGAATTGGGCTCCACCCGTTTGGATAGACCCCCTATCCAAACCAGCCAACCTATCTGGCGAAGTCCAAAAGCCGCGCAAGAGAAACCCCGGAAAGTTAATGTGGGCCATCGTAAAAATAAGTCCCCAAGACACGCCTTCTCTTCCACATCAGAAACGGACAGGCATGCTCTACATCCTCTACCTCCACCACATTCCGACATCCACGACATACATCCGTCATAGCAACCCCAAGCCTCCTGGCCATTTTCCCCAAAAGGCAATGCCCTGTCAGGACCTCCACTATCAGAGATCAGCCCTATTAAATCTCAATAACATCCTAGCCCTAAAAACCTATAGTAACTCACCAGAATTTTACTAAAGCTTACTTTCATTAGAGTTCCACCAGAATTCTTTGAGTACAGCAAATATAAATGTTGTAGTAACACCCATTCTGACAAAAGAAATTTTATTTGTTTTGGTTTCAAAATTAGGGCTTGTTGACGCCTCTTTTAATTCTCTTAGTTTGGTAATTTAGTTTCTGGATTTCTAGTAAATTTTACTTTAAAGAATGTAGTAACCATCGTATATTCCTTTATAAATACTGAAATTTTTTTTAAATGCAAGCTCTGTAGAAGAAAGTTTATAATCATTGCTTCATTCAGAAGCAATTACAGTAGACTTAACTTACACTCCCGGCCTAAAAAGAAAAATTTTATAAGCAAGCAATTCTCATTTAGTTTTACTTAAATCTATTCAAAATCATAGAACAGTAAAAATTAATTGTAAATCAAAAGTACAAGAGAACAGAGCGTCTTACATTAACTCTTCGTTTAAATTACAATTAACTTTTAATAATTTCCAAAAAAGGTGTAGTTCCAACAGCAAAAGAATAAAAATTCTCAACTATTCCTTAACATCGTTTCCAAAAATGCAATTGAAAACAAACAAAATATAAAACTCTCACTTCAACAATTTTAATAAAATTCTTTTCTTTAATATTTTCTTTAGAGATTTCAAATGATCTTTTAGAATTAAAAATGAAAATTATTCAAAAAATTTAAAATGAAAACCAAAATAGTAACAAAATAAATTAATAAAATAAAATTTTAAATGGAGAGATAAAAATAAAATTTAAATTAAAAAAAAAAAATTAAAAAAAAAATTTAGAAATTAATTTTAGATAGATAAAATTAAAATTAAAATAAAAAACCCAACAACAACAAAATAATTTCAACTTCTTATATAAAAGTGTTAAAAATAAAATTAATAAACTGAAAAAATCAATTTTTTCATTCGATATGAGCGGTTTAGGACCGGCTGCATGCTGGTTAGCTCATAAAAGATTAGAATCATGGTCACGTATGGCCAAAGAACGTGTTGGTGCTGTTAGACGTGCAACAATTGAACGTAGTTCAACTGATGAAACACCATCAACACCACCACCACCACCAACACCATCATCGATTGCATCATCAACAACAAGTGGCTTAGGTAGTGGTGGAAGTTTTAGTGGTGGTAGCTGTGATTTACAAACTGATTCAGAGGTTTTACACTTAAAATTTACATTAATATTATTAATAATTCTCCAAAAAAAAAAAATTTTATTTCAATTTAAATAATTAAAATTTCTAATACAATATTTATAAATATTAAATATAGGAATGTAATGTTACACGTGATCCTCAACCAGTTCAACCACCAACATCTGTTGCTGCACATGGTATTAATACTGAATTATTACGTGGTCCAATTGAAATGTCACCAAGTCCATTACATCAACATTTACAACATCAAAGTAAATCATTTCCGCCACGTTTACAAAGGACACCATCAATTTCTAGCCAAAGTAGTTTAGATAGCGCACCATCCAGACAATCAGTAAGATTTAAAATAGTTCAGTAATTTTCATAAATTAAAATTTAAATTTAATTTTAATTTAAAAAGGGTCATCGTGGCTCATCACCCCAAATTCGAACATTTGGTCCAGATGGGCGATCATCTTTAACATCCGAATATGGAAGTGTTCATGTAAGTTTAATTAATATTTTTTTTAATAATAGTAATAAAATTTTTCTGTTTAACGGTGAAAATTTATCTATTTTACTGTGATGACATTAACTATCGCTTATGATAATAATTTTTGTCTATGATAAATTTCATACCATATAAAATTTTAAATACACTGTAGAATGCTTTCATATTGCAATTATATTCAAGATCTTGGGTTGAAGGATCTTAAAATTTAATTCACTTTCATTTCATTAATCTTGTTAAACTTTTTATTTACCCAAGAATTAAAACCAATAATGACAATTATAAATTTTTTTTATTTTTGTTTCACCTAATAAATTTTCATTATAATTTTTCAAAAATTTCACCACTAAAACTTGAAATGCAATGCAATATGAGAAAAGGACCTTTTTTTTTGCCTTATATACAATAATAAAAACCATCACCACCCATTAAATACTTAATTTCAAAAATTCTATTCAAACCTTAGTTTAAACCTTACCATTAAATAAAACACTAAAAAAACTAATTTTTAATTTTAAATTTAATTTTAAATATAAAATAAATACAAAAAATCTCTGTTAAAAGGAGCGTATCAAAAACGAATTAAAATTTTTCAAAATTTCTTGTATACTGAATTTGTTCCTCAACCACCCCTTTTGTTCCCAAACTATATAAACATTGAATAATTGCAAAAAAAAACTCTTTTATCAAATTAATTGAATGGAAAAAATAAATTTGTTGGAACAACAGAAAAAATTTTACACAACAATACAAGGATAATTCAACATATTTAAAAAAATGAATCCTTAAAATAATTTTTAAAGTGTAGCGAACTTTTCTTCCCAATTTTTCAACTATTCTGTGTATGAAATACAAGGCAAATCTATTGCATCATTTAAAATTCTATTGCATATTGTTGGAATTGCAATTTTGTAATTTTAAAGAATAAACCACAGAGCAAATACTTTTAAGTCAAAAATTTTTCTTATTTATTGTAAATTAAAATTTAGTTTTATTTTTTTTTTTTTTGCCTTCCATACAAAATTCATTTATAATTCCAACCGTTTCTTGTTATAGCCCAACAATGTTGCATTCCTGATACATTTTAAGAGTCAGAAAATATAGGGAAAAAAAATTATTGTTACAGTTAAAATGTTATCATGCTATTCGCGAAAATTGATTACAGTTAAACCTCAAAATAAGCGCAACATTATTATAAATGGCAGCAACAACAGAAAACATTTTCCACTTCAAGCATCTTATACAAATATTGCAAATAATAAATCAAAATGAATTATACAATTTATCCTTGTAAAATATTTGTGTTGTGTATGTATGTATATTTAATAGTTTAAATGTAATTGAAAAAGAGTAAGGAAATAAATATGGTATACAAAATAACAACAAGAAAAGGAGAGAAAAAAAACAATTTAATTGTAATAGCGAAAAAACTAAAAATATCCTTTTTATACATACAAATGAGTCCCTATACAAGAGTCCTTAGGGAGATTACGCAAATATGTGTAATAATAAATGAAAAAAAAGGACATAAAATAACTTGTTAATTAGTTCCAGTAATAAAATAAAAACATTGTTTTTTTTTTGTTTTTTTTTTTTTGTAAGTAGTAGGTTTTCATAAAACTCACCCATCAGGATATTTTTTTTTGAGAAATTATTTTATGTTGTAATGTAAATACTACATTGTAAATGTATTTGCAACTCAAAATTAGTATGAAAAGGTATGATTCAGTTCAACCGACTCTTAGTAGTATATATTTTGTAAATGTAAGTTAAGAATTTCAAAATGTCATATTTTCTAGAACTTGAGGACAAGAGTGCACAAACATGATTTTTGCAGGAACTACAAAATATATATCTATTTTGTATTATAAGCCTGCTTCGAACATGTTTGATAATTTGCTATTTACAGCTTGCTCTCTCCGTCAATAATTGCACTCATTTTGGTTCTTCTAAAAATTGTAATTTTTTGTGTGGTATTCAATTCTAAGCAAGGGATCAATTTATAAATATCAAACATCAAACATTAGTTTTGTTTGATTAATAAAAACACAAGCAAAAAATTGTGTTTGATTACGAGACAGTATACCATAAAACTTAATATTCTTTTGTAAGTTAGATAAAAACTAAACTAAGTCATAAATAAAAAGCAAAAAATGTTTTATCAAGTTTCGTGAAAGAAAATTTGGTATCAAACTTACTTTCTATTCCACGTTTTCATGGCAAACTTTCAATAAATATAATGTTTAATGTCATTAGCGAACATGTTTGAAATGCATACTTCTGATGTGTCACCGGATATAATTTTTTAGCATAAACTTTTTCTTTTCTTCATTATACGTTGCGTAGTTTGACTTTGTATCAGTAATATATAGGAGAAAATTTTGTATTAACCTTCCTGTCTAACTTCTATTTTATAAGTTTGATTGAGGAATCAACCTAAAAGAATGTTGGCTATGCAGCATGCTGTTTAAAGTATATAACAACAAAATCACCGTTACTATACAGGATCGGAAGTTCCAATTTCAAGCGGGCGGTATTGCAACTAAGAAATTATTTTATTGGGTATTGCAATTAAGCAATTTTAATTTGTATTTCGGTTTGTCACATTGGCAATGCTGTAATTTTCATTACTAAATACTACATCCTTTCGGATTGACTACAAAACCCCATAAAATTTGGCTTGGCTTTAGTAAGTTGTTATAGCAAAATATTTAGCCAGCAGACAGAACGTTATTAAGAGGTTACTTCATATTCAAATTTTACAAACATCTGCCAGAAATCAATATGAAACTGTTGAATATTACATTCAAAATGACTTCTATTCGCTACCAATAGGTGACGCAAATATACTATTTTTTTATTAGTAATTTTCAACATCACTTCTTTAAAAAAATATATATATAATCATGTACAACAATAATTTATTATCATTTTTAATGGGGTGACAAATAGTTTGTTAAAAGGATAATATATAAATTATTATTATATGCATTTTATTGATACATACATAGAATAGGGATATCTGCACGGCAGTATGTTCCTACATAAATCTATAATAAAAATATGTAAGTTTGTATCTTAAATCCTCTTCATAGGACAACAATCTATTAGAGTGCTGTGATCAATTTGTTAAAGTATTCATGTTTTTTTTTTGTCTTTTTTTTCAATAGTGTCAACTTTTCTAATACAAAAACATCACAGGACATTTGTATGTGCGTCTTTTCACCCTTTTAAGAAGAAAAAATTGAGTATTCATGCGTTTTGTTTTTTCTTTTTTTTAAATATTTTTATATCCATTATTAAAAATGTATAAGAATTCAATATTACTATCAATATTACGGAAGCTGATATAGATAATAAGCAATAGAAGTGCAACTTAAGTAGAATAATGAAAAAATGAATTTATAAATATAAAGTGATTGACTCCTTGATTCTATTTCTAGTAAACTTGAATAAAGAGAAGAAATTAAATTTTATTGCCACATTTCATTTTCGATTTGGTAGTAGATAATACTATTTTGGTCATTTTAAAACCCATCGTTTTGTATTCATTAATCGGATTCTTCAGAAATTTTTGCAGAATATTAACTGGCTATGGACTGCTCGTTGACTCGGCAGCGATATATTTAATTAACTTCTGTCGGTTGCCGGGCACATGCGGAAAAGTTGGATCACATGTGGAATGGCGAGGAAAATATTACCTCAATACAACCGTATCGAAACGGGAACACTCCTTTCCATGTAGCAAGAAGAAATGGCTAACGTGTTAGCAGTTTATGCGAGAAACAGGCCGGTGCTTTATACACGGTTTAGGAAGACAGGATTCTAGTTTCCCAGCAGTTTGTATCTGAACGTACAATAACGGTCCGGCTGTTGTTAAGGAATTGCAATGAAACTTGTTCTCATTCGGGTGCCGTTCTTCTTGGGTCGCGTTAGCCACCTAAACCAGCTGAAGATTCTATAATTCTTCCTAGTTTTTTATTTTATAACTATTTTTATTCACTAATTTAATATTTTGCTACCGGGGCAATGACTCCATTTTTTAAGGTATAAAATGAATTCCTTTAATATTACAATAATATTTTCTTTCTTCTTTTCCTTTTCGAAAATATCTGAAAAAGGATGAAAAAATCGAAAATATTTGAAATGTAATTACCGCGAATTCTATCTCATTTCCGTAAAGTTCAAAAGTTCAATTTATGATGATAAAGTATAGAAATCAATATAAAATATTTATGTACATAAATACAAAATGGTGGAACAGAAAAAGAAAAATAATAATAAAAATTTATAGAGATAACAATCACTTTTCAAACCGTAAATAGAAAATTATTTTGATTTTTAATAAATTTCTTTCTTTTACTTTCTGATTGTTATTTACCTACAATTTACAAGGACATTTTTCTTTTATTGTTATTTGTTCATATATTTTGTATGTTTTTGTATACATCTATAGTTATGCAATAAATTATGTTCTGTATCTAAAATATTATCAAACGGATGATATTTTAAGGATAATTGAATTCAATATTTAAAGAATTTCATTAATAATTATTAGCCTTTTTGTTAAATATTTGGATATAGAATTTGAAAATTTTTGGGAAAAATTATATTTTTTTTTTAAAATTGACTTTAAAATTCCAATAAAGGACGCAAATTTAAGAATGAGCAAAGATTTTTCTGCATCGCACTAATTTCAATTTTTCAAATTATCGACTAAAAATATTGAAATAGACGAAATAGAAACGAAACTTTGTACATTTTTGTAGTACTCACTACAAAATTCACTGTAGTATTCACTATAGTATTTACTCACTCCTTAAATTCACTCACTTGGCCTTACATTGTGTAAATTACTGAAAATACCAAAATAAAATTAATGATGAAATCTAGTTAGATGAAATCTAGTTAGAAATAGGTTTCAAATCAATGATCAAAAACTAAAATTTTAATATGTGAATAAATGACTTTAAAAATTTAAAAACCCGAAGTTTAATTCTACGAAATACTCGGGAACAAATATCTCCTATGTCTCTGGTAAATTTTACATAAAGTACCGAAAATTATCAATCCTAAATATCCAAAATGATCAAAAATAAATTTTCTTCTTCATTTATTCCTTTTTTTTTCCAAAGCAAAAAAAAACATTTCCTCTTCAATATCTTTTTATTGAAATCATCATCGAAATTTGAGTTGTAATCGATTTTATACAACTATATAAATAGGTCCTTTCTTTTATTTTCCAATCCTCTGTTCCGTTTCTCACTTTTGTATTTGTACAAAAATATTGCATAAAAATTTTGACTTCTGTGCTTATATAATATAGGGGTTTTGTGTTTTTTTTTCTAATCTTCTGTCTTTGTTATCAAATGAACAAAAAGGACATAAAACATTTAGAGTTCAAAGAAAAATAATGTAAAACTATATTGTATGTAACAAAAAAAAAAAAAAGGAAAAACAAGAAAAAAATTATGAAAATTTTACACTTAATTAAATATGATAATTGATGATTGATTATAATAAAAATATCCTTTTTTTAAATACACATACAACACATACATAAGTATAAAATATTATACAAAAGTCTAAACAACACAAGGAAATATTATAGATTATATAGAAATCAAGAATTCTTTATAAAAATTAAAAATTATATTCTAGGATTCTAGCTAGATTCTAGCAATTTTTATATTAAAAATGAACAATGATTTTGCAAAAAAGACAAAAAAAGACTCGAATTAAGTCAATTTTTTGTTGAAAAGAAAAATTCTTAATCAATATATTTTTATAACAGATTGTTATAATATATAATTTATTTATAGTATAAAAGATGCTACTAGTTTTTTCACCCTTATTACAATTCTATATTATTCTTTAATTAGTGATCTGTTAACTGATATCTAGATATTTCATGGTGATTTAGCAAAAAAGAAAAAATGATTTTTATAAAATTATTTTGAAATTAAATTAATTCGATTTTTCTTTGTTATACATTTATTTTTGCTACTTATGATAGTTATTGAGATGAACAAGGACATCTGTTATATTTATATATTATGTACCAAAAATTTAAGTATTTTAATTTTGAAAATTTTATAATTAAAAGTGAAATACCGTGAAATTATAATTTAATAATTTATTAGCATATAAAATTATTTATAATAAGAGAATTGAACAGGAAATATCAAAGATAAAAAATTTTAATTATGGAAAATGTTATTAAAACAAATTTGTAACCTTAAATAATCTAGCTGGTATTTACACTTATTTGGGAATTTATACAATTATTTTAAATTTGTAATATGGGTTTGGAAAATTTTAATTAAGGAGATGCATAATTCACTAATGCATAATTCTAATAAATACTGATTTATAATTTAAAATAATTAAAGCTTAAATTATAATAAAGAAATTTAAAATATAAGAGACTGACAACGCAATTTTTCAGTATATTGTCAGTTTTAGTTTGTTCTAAAATAATTATCCATTCCAAGATATTGTTGAGCTCATAATTTTCAGCACAATTATCAGATAGAAATATATCAACATCATCTGTTTTGGTTTTAAGCAGTCTATATGAAAATCAAAAAGGAGAAGTCTCAAAATGCTATAATGTGGAAGTTCAGTATTAACAGTAACGTTGTTGCTTTTAATTTCACTTGTTTTCTTAATAAATTATTATTTTCAATGTAATATTCATTTAATTGTCATATGTGAAACAATTAGTCGCATGTATTTGAATTGCTCCCAATATTTTAACAATACTGATAGTTGAACGAACCTAAAAATGAAGAAATGTTAAAAATTTACAACATCAATATTTTCTACTTTATGATAAAAATATTAAGTTTCAAGTATATACAATTAATTTTAAATTCTTTCTACTCTTTTTCAATATACAGCGTTCTCCTAGTCCAATGAGAGCTATTAGCCTTGATGCACGTTGTTCATCACCAGCTTCAACTGAATTAACTGACCTGAGAACACCATCACCATCACAAAATAGTTTAGCATCATTAACAAGTGGTACAACAGCAAGTGGTATATGTATATCACCAAAAATTAGTGGACGTTGTTTATCACCATTATTAATACCACCAAGAACACCAGCTGGTACTGAACAAGGATGTGGACCAGCATCACCATTAGGTGCAATACAACCAGATTTATATACAAGACAAGAAGGTCCAATATATTTAACGGCACCAGAACAAAGTCCAGCATTAGGACGTTTACATTTAAGAATTAAATATGATCATCATTTATTTGATTTAACTGTTCACCTGATAGAAGGTAAAAAAAATTTAAATTTCTGTCAATTAAAATTGAAAACTATTAATAATATTACCTTCATTTTCAGCTCATAATTTATGTCCAATTGATGAAGGTGGTTTTCGTGATCCATATGTTCGTTTAATGTTAATACCAGAAGTTGATCAAAGAAAAAGACAAACATCAATTTATCGTGGTGAATCAAATCCATATTTTGATCAACATTTTAAATTTCCAGTATCACGTGATCAATTATCTGGTAAAGAATTGGTATTACAAGTACATGATTATGATCGTTATTCGCACAATGATATCATAGGTGAAGTGAGAATTTTAATTGATGAATTGGATTTATCGAAATCGGTTGAGGTAAAATTTCAAATGAATAAAATTTTTATTCTTCAAATTACAAAAATTCAATTTGCGTATTTCAGATCTGGGGTGATGTTCTTCGTATTAAGAAACCTCCAGAGGATAGACCAGAATTACTTTTGTCATTAAATTATTTACCACAAGCTGAACGCTTAACAGTTGTCATAATGAAGGCTAAAAATTTGGATACTGTTCAAGATCCATATGTAAAGGTAATAAAATTTAAAGCGCATCTTGTTTTAATATTTAAAAATAAAACTTACATTTGGATTTCCAAATTTTAGCTTTATTTAATTCAAAATGGTAAAAGAGTTAAAAAGAAGAAAACTGGCTGTGGAAAAGCTAATGATCCAGCAAACCCAATATGGAATGAGGCATTTACATTTAATTTACCCTCTTCAAATGTACAGGGTGCGGCATTGGAGGTAAATATTTAACTGAAATTATACATTTTGATTTTATTTAATTCTATAAAAATTTGCCTACTTACCCGCATCCAAGTTTGTGCTAAAATTAAGTTAGTATGTGTGTATACATAAAGCTAAATGATAATTTATTGTACTTTAATTTACATTAAGGCCGGTTCCTTTTAATAACCATATGATCAGGTGATTCTTTACCTTCGAATTTCAAATGAAAAGGAACAATTCTCCATTTCTCTAAATGTTTTAATGAAGTGATTCTCAAGTTATTCATTATTTTGTGCCCATATGATAACGAAACCGTTAAAATTAATACAATTGCCACTATATTTATCCAAACCGGTTCTGTGAATAGCTTGAAATGAGAAAAAAATAATAAATTTTTATTAATAAATTTTTAATAATGAATAATTTTATAAAAAAAATTTGATTGAAATGTCAGACCTTCATTATAATTTGAAAAAGAAAATAAAAGTAATTTTTAATTATAAAATTTTTTTAATTATTAATGTTTGAATTAAATCGAAAAGAATGATGTCTGCAATTTTTTGCTACACAAACTCCACAAAATTTGTTATTATGGTATTAAATGTCAGTCGCAATTAAAAGTTAATTGCTTTGACATCAGTAGCAATAATGACAATTGTTGTCGAAAATACAATTGTCATTATTGCTACTGATTGTATTATTGCATTTTCAATCGTCAAATACACCAATTGTCATTATTGCTACTGATAAGTTAATGGCAACTGTTTTTAACTACAACGTACTATAAGTTTATTATTGTTCATTTACATTTAGTATTTCTCTCATGATTTGTTCTTCATGCTTACCAGTGCACGTTCTTCTATATTACTATGCAATGAAAATTTTCAACTCATTTCCACTATAACATAGTGATTGTGTTACACAAAATCTTGCAATCATTCATTCGCGTACCATAGTACTAAGGCACATAAAATGCTTTCCAATAATTTGAATTGGACTTACAATATTATCTTATAATTTTTAAATATTTTATTTTTTTTTTACTTAATTTAGATTTATGTTGTTAATGCAAGTGGCGGTGAAGCTAATGCTATCGGTAGTTGTGGTATCGGTCCACAAGAAATGGGACATGGACGTCAACATTGGCAGGATATGATACATAATGCTCGTAAACCGACTGCTATGTGGCATTTTTTAAGATAAGTCCAAAAATAATTTTTTAAAAAAAAAAAAACAAAACAAAATATTTTATTTATAATAATAATTGCATATTATTGCAAAAATTAAACATACAAATTATATATATATATATACATAATAATTATATAATTATTACCAAAATACATGCATATATACATAATTACATTTAAATTTTAATTACCATAATAATTAAAATACATAAATTATATACAAATGAAAATAAATAGAGAAAAAAGGATAAATATTTCAACAATAACGAGAAAATTACAAAAAAAAACACAAAAAATAATGGCTTATAAATAACATGGAAATTATTTTCATAATAAAATACAAAAAAAATATATATTTATATTTGTAATACAAAAAAATAAAAAAAAAAATACAGATTTAGTATAAAAGTTTAATGTCATAAAGAAAAATGTTGAACAAAATTTTTCATTTTTATCCTTGACACAAAATTCAAAAAATATTAACTAAAAAGGATATTTTTTTTTGATTTTTATTTTTTTTACAAAAATGGAACAAAAACACAATATAGTAATAAATTAATATCATAAAAATAATAAATATTTAAATACATATGTATAATAAAATTTTTAATATTTTATTGTGTTATACGCATATCAAACCGAAAACTCTTAATAAAATAACACAGTTGGACTCTGAAAAATTAATAACAAATTATAATTAAATGGACGTCCATAATAATAATATAATCAGTCGGAATTATCACATTATTTATTAAAAAAATTTGGATCAAATCAGTGGTTTTTGTGTACCAAAATTAGCAATAATCGGAGGCGCTTAAAAGTAAAGTGTTCTGATAAATTGTCAGTTTCAGATATTGAAAATACATTAAATCCGTGTGTCGGAACAGACACCTAAGTCTTATTTCGTTTATTCCATCCCCAACAAAACTAATTTCAAAATGAATTTTTTGGCGTCCGCCGTTACCTAAACACATAAACTGCAATTGCAAGTTCTTACTATTATTATTTCTTATTTTGTCGAATCCATTCCAAACCGTTTAAAAATGATAATTAAAGCAAGAGGTTCTGTTACAAAAATGCAATATAATGATATTTATTTACACATTTAACAAGTGGACCACTTTGATTCTGGTCTAAAATTTTTAGCAACCAAACATTTTATGAATTGTTATTTAGTTTTTTTCTATTATATCGAATTTTTTTTTTTTGTTAAAAGTAAATTTATGTGTATAAACACTCAAGCTTTTGTATTAAAATTTTCTTGATTTCATTCAATATTATTTATTTTTTAAATGATCTGATATTTGTTTTGAAGTGGACCATTTTCATTGTGAGTCACGGTATATCAATTAAAATTTATTATTCTTTTGGATGCACAATCAAAATTGACAATTATTATTTACTCTTCAACTTTTCCAAATTTACTACAATAAATCAAAGTAATTTGATCGTAAAATTTTTATTGTTCTATATAAGTAAGTTTATTTTTCTCTTGTCAACACTTATTTTAATTTTAGAAATAAAAATTTCATTTATGTTTATTACATTAATTTAAATATGTAATAAGAAAACCATATATATATAAATATTTATATACATTCATAACATTCATACAACAAGGACGTAATTAATTATGGTTTATTTAACAAAACTTCTCAAACTGAGATTTTCATCATACACTTGCATACATATATGTGTACATATATATTTATTTGCCTTTACTTGTCGGCATTAAAACTCATTTTTTTATAGGAACACTTTTACTCGTCATTCCTACCCAAATTTCTCTTAGAACAATTCAAGTATCGATTACTAGAAATAGTATTTCTAATAGTATTTTATTCATCAAAATTTTCTCGGACTTCTACATCAGAAACCGTAAAATATTTCTATCGTAAAGGAATGACAATCCGATCTGAAAATTAATAATAATCCATCAATTTTCACAATCAATAGTCATTGCTTAAAATTTTGACTGCATTGCAGTAATCCTAAAAAATATTTTTTAATTTTAAAAGTCAATTGAAATTACCAAATCATCATTGTTTTTGACATCAGAATTTTTAAATTTATTCAATACATGCATACTATAAATCACAAAACGGTATATTCTTAAAATTGCATACCCTTTTTTTGTTTAATTAATCTTACACCCACAGAAGTAATATGACCCTATTCAATTATTAAAATATTTTACCGCACCAATATTTTGATAGATTTTAAGAGACAATAATAACAACCTTTTAAATGAACTAATTCAAAAAAATTCTTAAAATTTTAAAGTGAAAAATAAATTATGCATTTTATTATTACTTAAAAAGGATATTTTAAACTGAATTTATGTGTTTATTTAAAATATTCTCCCATATTATGGAATTCTTATACATATATAATGAGTTGACAATAAATATTAATTTATTTATTACTACACAATATTTATTATTTAAAATTAAAGTTATGTATAAAACAAAATATGTACTTAGGTCATAAAGATTCGTATTAATGCACATATACTCGTATGTACAAGATCACAATACAAAATAATAAATGTCACCCGAAGTAATATTTTTAAATCCATTTATACATTATATAATTTAGCCTAACCGAGTATAGCACATAAATTCTTAAAAATTTTTTCATAAGACCACTTGACATTAAACAATTCAATATTTGAATATACATACATTATATGTATTACGGCCTGGACATTTTATATATTATAATAAATACAGTGCATATACGTTATAAATGCATTGCACATAAAGTACTTGAATGAAGAAAATTGAAATTTATTTAAAACAAAATTTTCATTCGGGACGGGATTTATTCATAGATATTCGGAATTTATTCGGAAAAATAATCATTCTCCGAATTAATTCGGAATCAGTCGGTATTTATTCGTAGATAAGCAGAATCATTCGGAATGATTAATTCGGAATTTTGCGAAATGATTCTGAATCAATCGAAATTTATTCTAAAAAATAATGGCTCTTCAAATTAATTCGCAATTGAAATTGGTAATTATTTCTAAACATGCAATTATTCAGAATTATTCGGAATTATCCCGGATCTATTCGGAAATTTGTGAAATCAATTGCAAATTATTCGGAATAAATCCTAAATCGGAATTTATTCGGGAACAAATATAAATTTTCATTATATTTTGCTATCTCTTATTACTTTTTGAATAAAGTCATCCTGTACTTATTTATATCCTTTTTTATCATTTATATTCAATTTGTCAAATGTTTTTCTTTCATCATCCTTAATGCATCAAAATATACTTATTCATTACTTCTCTTCTCTCACATTTTATTCATTATTATAAAATTTTAATTGATTTGTGTTGAATGCTTTAGTTAAAGTAAAAATTATAATGAACTGCATTTTAAATTACCCAGGGGACATACACAATTCAATAATTAAAAGTGATTTTAAATTTTAAGAACCTATATAATATTTGTGACAAAAAGTAGGTGGATTAAACAGGAAAAGGATATCTTAACCTAAAAATTTGCTATTGTTACAGAATAAAACGTTTAAGTGGACGCCACTTAAATATTGTTTTTGAATCCTTTTTTTTTCCTTTTTGAGAATATTTTGAAATCATTTCACCCTCTATATCAACAGATTTTTTTATTCTTTTTGTTGGTGACAATATTTTCAAAATTTCCATTTTCTCAATTGAAATCAAAGCAATTTTAAGTAACTGTTATATGACTGTTTTCAACATCCTGTTTGTGGTAAATTATAACCACTTGAAAATATGGGAGTTAAGAGAGACTACAAAATATAGACATACATGGTACGTATGGGTATTTATGTACTTATGTAATAATTTATTTGTTTAAGTCAAGTAATGAGCAAATATTTATTGCAGAGAAAAGAAAAATAATGAAAGGATATAATAAAATTAAATGGTTAGGAATAATATTATTTTTAATGATTTTTAAGTTTTTACAACGATATAGATTATTTGTAAAAATAAGGAATATTTTTGTTCAAAAGCCCTTTGGTTAAATTGTGAATTTCTTAAACAACATTGTTGCTAACCTACTTACTTTAATTGAGTTGAAAAATACTTTTAACACGCGAATAATATTTTTTTTGGTCAAATTTTAAATTTAAAAGAAAGCATTTGGATTTAGAATGGAGTTACAAATTTAATATTGGTAAATTCCTATTAATATTGATAATGGTAATAATAAAACTTATTTGAAGAAGTCCGTAAAAAATCTTACACATTCCTACATTCACTTTCTTACAGAATTCCGAAAAATTTTTTCAAACCATATGCGTATAGCACAATAATATTTTCATAAATATAAACATATTATAATAAACTGTAATTAATAAAATATTAAGAAATAAATTCTAATTATTTTAATAAATGTTAATAATATTAAGTTTAATACAGAAACTATAACCCACCAAATATTTCCTAATCTAAATAGCAACACGAAAATTACAAATATATTGTACAAAAATTTATAACATTCTTAACCAGTCTGTATAAAAAATATAACTTTAAAATTTAATTGAAAAATTTCTGATTTTTCATAACAATTGCGATATACCTCCTCATTTCATTATTTATTAAAACTTTTCTAACTTGAAAAACACAACTATAATACATACATTTTGAATTGCCTAACACTACAATATATTTATGTGTTATTGCAATAAAAACGGGATTTGTAAATACGAATTGTGTAATTAATGAAATCTGATATTTAAAATTTGCATTACAAATATTGTCATTACAGTGTCTACCGAATCTATCCTAAAAATCGAATACAATTTTAAATTTCAAAAATATTGATAAAAAAAAAACAATTGAAATGTGCAAATAAAATGATAATTTATTCTCCGAATTAATTCGGAATTATTCGGAGTCAGCGAAAATTGGCTCGGAGATATCCAGAGTTAGCCGCAATTAATTCCGAAATATTCGGAGTCATTCGGAGTTATTCGGAATCATCCGATATTTATTCCGAAAAATGTGGAATGATTCGGAATTGATCGGATTATTTATAAAAGCAAAATACATGAATAAAATACTTATTTATTACATTTTTTTATT